ATAGATCCTATTGCCGGCGAAGAAAGGATACAAGGCTTTTGGGAGTTAGGACTGAAATGAGGTGAGATTCTGTCGCAAGAAGAAGAAGAGGATGGCCCTCTATTTTTATTTTATACCATAAACGGATTCATCCCAACTATACCAAAGAGATTATACGAGAGATATGATGGAGTCAAAACTGATGGGATAGACAGAAATCAAGATCCTCAAGCAGTCAAGGAGCGAATTGGCTTATAAAATAGTATAAGTTTGCATTTTATACTTTTAAAATGAGGCATTCTATTCCCTGTAAAGCGATGGAGGGGATCGTTCAATAAAGGACCAATCGAATCAATCCCCAAGGGAATATTAAGCCGGTAAGAAGGTTCAAGATATAATCTTATTCCATTACCGATGTTTGAGTTATTTTCCTATTTTGATCTTGAACTCGATCATATCTTGCTTTAATAGATCGATTCGATAGAAATAAATGACTGCCAAGAGTTGATCCCATCGGCAAGATAATAAAATAGCTCAATTTTGACCTCTTTGATTATCATATTATTTGATATTGATAGTAGTGAAAAAGAATTCTAACAACATTCAGAAATGAACTGAATAACTAGACAAAATAAGGGAATTTAAAGGCAAAATTCTATCCAGGGGAGGATAAAAGAAAGAATGGAATCGTTACGATAACATGATATTCCATCAATAATAGGATAAAAATGTTAATTGACATGGGTAGTAGAAACAAATAACGGAAAAAGAGTTAAATTATCAAGTTAATTATCGTTGCTTCCACCGGGTAGATTGCATTGACTATGGAGGATAAAAGGGAGAGAGAAAGAGAAAATGATAGATTTAGTAAGTGTATTGGAGAAATGATGCATGGATCATGATTAAAGTAAAACTGGAAATGGAATTAGAGTAATCATCGTTATTGTTTCATTTCCGAATAGAAATCGTATAGGCTCTAATTGGGTTATTGGTCCATTTCTACTTGTTGAGAAAGAGTTCAGCTTCATCGAAACCGCCATCAACAGCTGATGAGAGAAAAATAAAGTAAACGACTTCTAGTTCTAGGATGTAGATGATGTCAAAATTACAAATAAAGTGATTTCAGTCATTGTTGCCGACCATTTGCCAAATTAATTGGTGTAAGACTTTATTGAGTTGTTGATCGATTACTACTGTAATTGTTGAGAAAGGATTAAACTCCATCTAGAACGCCATCAACAGCTCATGAGTCAAAATAAAGTAGCGGACTCGATTGGAGAAAGCATCAATAGGGTGATGATATTCAATTAGAAATGGAGCGATTTTAGCGATCGTTATCGATTATTTTCTCCATTAAAATCATATAAGAGTCAATAATTGATTTCTACTTGTTGAGAAAGAAACAAATTCTATCTATGGCCGCTATAAGAACTTACTAAGAGAAAATTAAGTATCGAAATTTTCTAGAAGAAATTAAGTCAAGTTAGACATGGAGCGATCGTTATCGATCATTTTCTATACTCCAATCCCAGAGAGCTTTAACAAGTCAATTTCTACTTGTTAAGAAGGTGTTTATCTCTACCGCCATAAACAGCTTCGTTAGGGAAATGAGAACTCATCATGGCTTATTAGAAATAAGAAATAAGACTGCTTCTAGAATGAACATTTATCTAAGCCGCTACCAATAGCTTAATAAGAGAAAATAGAACTAGTCGTTAGTAACGAGCAATAAGACTACTGGAGGAAACATCGATTTATATTGTCATCAGCAGCTTAATGAATTATAAACGAAAATAGAATCGGTCATGGTTCATTCGAAACAAGGCATTCAATTACTGGAAGAAATATCGATTTATACCGCCATCAACAACTTAGGAAGGGAAAATAGAATCAATCATGCTTCCTTAGAAACAGGAAACAAAACTACTGGAGGAATCATCGATCTATACCGCCATCAACAGCTTAGCAAGTGAAAAGAACGTACGACAGTCATAATAAAGTAAAAGATTTACTCTGGGGCTTGCTGATGATGGAAAAGATATTGGCCATCATGGATCAAAATAAAGTGGTTGGAAGAGACAAAAAGGGATGAAGAAATAGTTTACAAACTGCTGTAGAGTTTCAATCGGAGTGACAAGTGTAGGATAGATTGTCGATAATCCAAGAATGAAAAACGATAGAATAGAGTGTAAACAGATCAAGTGGGGCCTTATTGAACATGATGGGTCATGAAGTGAAAGATGGACGGAGACGAGAATAAAATGATACTTGCTTTTGAATGTTCATTTTTAATGACAATATATTGAAAAGGCGATGATGAAAATTCAATTGCGGACAAATAAAAACTAGATGATGGCTTTAAACTTATTGATCTTGATTTGATTGTGACGACAGTAAATGAAGATGTAAAATGGAAATTTATAACTCATTTATAATATTCTTTTAAACCATCATAATATAATATTACAAAGCTAGAGTGAGATGATAGTCAATAATGAAATGCTCGACAAATATGAAGTTACAATATAGGACAACTCATATTATCCATGAAAAATAAATAAAACTACTCCGTAACAACTTATTAACCGCTAACTGTTGAAAAGGCGATGAGAGAAGAAATGAAAGTGTTTGTTAAAACGCTATTGGATCAAGTTGATTTGTATCACTATCCTTCATATCCCTTTATCCATATGACAGCGTCATGAGCATATCTCAAGAAGAAGAAGATAATCATGTCGAATAAAGTGCTCGTTAGAAATAAAAATCAAACGTAAAACTATCTTCTCGTCAGAACGAGCGAGCAGTAGGGGGAAAAATGGCATAAGCAATGGATTGGAAAATAACTCCAGTCAAAGTAGAAAGAGAAAGCAATACAAAGACAAATTGTTGATTAACGATGATTTTCATTTTTAGTTTAGTATCTTAATTAATTAGATCATGGCGACAAGGGCTTTTCACCTTGAATCATGGCTTACTTAGATGGATAGAGCTGAATGAAATTGATCTTATACCCTTAATTAGAAATCGATTGAACAACATACCTGATGGAGAGGATAGCCTATTCAACGGAGAGTATGGCGGAAAGAAGAGGGGGCAAAAAAATATGGCCTAAAGTAGTCGAATTGATGAATCCAATCCAATACAGCAAAAGACAAGCCAAGAAAGAATAAGGAGAATAGTTGAAAAAGTTGAAATCCAAAATGGACTTTTGGCTTTAATAAGGGTCAACGAATTTCAATCGGCTAACTCGATTGAATTGGTCCTTAATCCACGATTTTAATGGACTAATTTAGAAAGCGAGTAGAAGCCAAGTTGGTCAATCAGGAAGAGAAATGGGGGGGAAAAAAAACTATTTTACGAACTGGCAATCAACTAAAGGGAAAGCCAATCCAAAAAGGAAATGGAAAAGACAAAATCAACGAGTGCAAAAAAACAGGCTGAATGTGTCAAGAGTGAAAGAGGAAATCAAATTGAATTGATGAGCGATGAAACAGTAGTCTATGGGCTCCCCAAAATGGCAGGTGCAAGCATAGAAATTGATTGAAGTCTAAATTAGACAATATTACAGGTGGCATCTGTTGCTATTGATAACAAAAAGAAAAGTTCAATAAAAAAGAATAATATTTCATCAATAGCTATTTTAAGTTAGTGGGATTAAAACAATACTAAATATTTGATTATTGTTAGAGGATGACTAAGTGGAGAAAAAATAAGGTTACACACAAAACAGAAAGACATCAATGGCTTTGATCAGCATAATTATGATTAACACATAGTCTAATAGACAAATGGCTATCGTTGAAATGATAGTTATTGACCATGGCTATCATTCAGTCACAATATCAAAATAAACACCAGTAGATCCATCATCGTTGATAATTCAATGGTAGCAAGATGAAAGTGGAGAGAAACGCTATCCTTGCCACTTGCATCGATAGATCACCTTCGTGCTTTTTCTACTTTAGATCGATCCATGGTTATCGTTGAAATCATGGCTATTGACTAGGTCGATCGTCCAGTTACAATATCAACACAAACATCATTAGATCCATCGTCGTTGATCATGACAGTAAGATGAGAGAAATACTTACCTCTTGAGTCTATCAATCATCATTGGCTTTCTCCTTTTGGCCTGGTGGATAGCCATGTTTTCCAATTTCGTTTATCGTCTTTTTATCCGCTTGTTGTAACCATGGTTATTGACTAGATCGATTATCCAGTCATCAAATCAAAAGAAATGCCTTTAAATCCGTCGTCGTTGATCATGACAGTAAGATGAGAGAAATACTTACTTCTTGAGTCTATCAATCATCATTGGCTTTCTCCTTTTGGCCTGGTGGATAGCCATGCTTTCCAATTTCGTTCATCGTCCTTTTATCCACTTGTTGTAATCATGGTTATTGACTAGGTCGATTATCTAGTCACCAAATCAAAATAAGCACCAGCGGATCCATCGTCCTTGATCATGCTAGCTAGGTGAGAGAAATGCTATTCTTACACACTCGGGTTCATCAATCGCCTTTGGCTATCTAGTTTTGGCCTGCTTAGATAGTCATACTTTTCAATCTCGTTTATCGCCTTTTTACCCCCTTGAAGAGGGCTAACGCATGGTAACATGAAGAAGGTAGGAAAAAGGTAATCACCGGAAGAGAATTGGGGTAGATCGGATTTGTAACCACATCTTTGCTCAACTTTCTTTATTCTAAATGGATATGAACTGCATGATTTCGTTAGCCAAGTCAATGAATGGAATATTAAGTGAACAAGGCGGCAAAGCATGACAAAATACTTCGACCCATATTATCTTGCTTCTTTTTTTCTACTTTCTAAATTATAGCCGTCTATATTGGCTACAATAGTGTTCAGTAAAGAAAGCAACAGCTATGAAAATAACGCGGATAGGCATGATCTTCATACTTATGTTCTCGTAGATGAAAAAAGCCGATTGCCATAGCACATTTACCTCTTTCTTTTTATCTTGCTCTATTCTAACTTGGACTTACTACGATAGCCCTTGCATCATGATCGGTTGCGAAGATGAATGGCAAAGTTAAGAAAGTGATAACTAGGAAATCGATTTCTCTCCTTTGGCTTTCCATCGTTTAACTTTGGCGTACTACGACAGTCTATGGATCATGATCGATTACCCGTATCAACTGTTTTAGTTAAGGGAGCAAAGATGACGATATCGATTTCTCTCCTTTAGCTTTCTATATTCGAATGAAGATGGACTACGGTAGTAAATCGATCACTTTTGATTGGAACGATCAACTGTTTCAGTTAAGAAAGCGACAACAACGGCGTTTATAGTCTAGTTTAGATATCGATTACGGTAGTATATCGATCATAATCGATTGCGAATAGCAACTGTTTTAGTTGAGAAAGCAATGACAAGGATGTCTATATTCTAGTTTAGATGTGGACTATGGTAGTATATTAATCAATGCTGATTGCGATTAGGAACTATTTCAGTCACGACAACGACGACAAATACGTCTATATTCTTATTTGGATGTTGACTACGGTAGTATATTGATCATGATCGATTGGGAATAGGAACTATTTCATTTAAGAAACTATTTCAGCCACGACAACGACGACAAATACGTCTATATTCTTGTTTGGATGTTAACTACGGTAGTATATTGATCATGATCGATTGGAATAAAAACTATTTCATTTAAAAGGAAGCGACCACTAAGGCATCTATTTCTCTCCGCTAGCTTTCTACAGTATATTCTACTTCCGGCAGATTACGTGCATAGACATTTTAATCTAGATGGGCTAAGGCAATCAATCGATCCATTGCGATTATAAACTAATTCAGTCACGAAAACAACGACGATTTAGCTTTCTATATTCTAGTTTTGTTTGTTTTAACTGTCTACATTCTTTTCTAATTAGTGGTAGGCAGTGAAATCGGCCATTGTTGCTTGGTAGCGCTACCGGTAAGTAGTTAAAAAGTGGCTAATCGGAAAGAAAGCGATCACTCTGTCCTGCTTAGCTAACTACCCTCTATTTTTTAACTTACAGGTAGGTAGTAGTGAAATGGGTCATGGTTATCTGGTACTATTGTAAATCTACAATTTGGTGAAGTAATTGGAAATGAAATTTCCAATATGAGATTAAAATCGATCTGATGAGAATAATGGCATGATAAATACCATGAAATGGATCAATTTCATTCTCTTTGCAGCCTGTGTGGCAAAGAAATGGTGGCGAAGGAACAATTCAATTGGGTAAAGCAATTGGAGATGAAATTTCCCTGATGAAATCAAAAATGGATCGGGTGAGAAGAGTTATACGTTAAATACGAGGGAATAGATCGATTTCATACTCATGGCCAAAATGGTTGTTATAAGATATCAACCAGTCATAGAACGATTAAAATGGATGAAGCAATTAGAGATGATATTTCCTTAGTGAGACTAAAGCCTAACAGGCTAGAAAAATGATACCGTCAATATGAGGAAATGGATCGATTTTATACTCTCCGTGGTCAAGAATAGTCGTCGTAGAACGATTAAATTGGGCAAAGTAAATAGAAACGCTAGTTTTCATGACGAGATCAAAGTCTACACTATCGTCACTGCGTTGATTTACTTTTTTTTATTCAAGATTTAAGTAAGACAATCCACAAAGTAAACAAATAGAATTGTTTTAAAATGTTCGTTGCAGGCTCGATATGAGCAATGATCATTATTTCAAGTTGTTTTACTCCAGCTGTCGGGCTATAAAGTGTTGAGAAAGAGATTGGATTGAGGGGATGGACAAGTTAGACATAGACTGTAGTTTTATTCAGGCGGAAGATAGATTCATATGATCGATTTTGCTACCGGCATATTGCTAGCCATTCGAGTAGATGATAGATTGTAGCTTTCATCCGGACAACGATATATAGGATTATTACGTCAAGTTTGCGGTCTTCTTGTTGAAGATTGAACTTAGAGAAAAGGGAGAATCCACAGAGATTCTAGATTTCATTTTAAAAGCGGAATACATCAGATTCATGTATTAAGTTATCCTAATCGCTCTAGCAGTTGATGGAAATAGTAGAATAAATAGAATCAATACTAGCTGCCGTTTTCATTCAAGTAAGGGGAAAATAGACCTTAGTATAGTAAATCCACTTGCTAACTGCATGCTGTTGGCAACTATAGTTATAAGGTAATTGAGAGAAAAGCACATCAATGAAAATACCCTTCGACTGAGATATTACTACGTTAAGCTATCTTTCTTGATCAAGAATCGAATGAGGAAAGGATGAAATCGAATCGTAGAGTCCGCCCGGATCAATGCTGACCATTTTCATAGTCTTAACGGATTACTTCTCATGATGGCTTTAAAAATGATATCAAATTTCCCTTACTAGTGAACATAGAAATAGGAGGCAAATAGTAGAAACGAATATTTCTCTTCCACGAATACGTTAAAAAGTTGATTTCTTCATTGAAATGTCCAATAGTTGATTGGTCCATGGATATCACTACATACATAATCAATCTTTTTAGCTTGACCTCAGAGGGAAAAGAGGGCTATAACTATAATATTTATTCAATTCATTTTTTCCTTTGCATGACTTAAATGAAGTAGTTTACATAACTTTAATCAATCATGGATTTTCTTAATAGAATTTGAGTCGATTTTTGTTATTATGCGATTGGTATAATCTCCATCACGGCCTAGATAGAGAAATCTGCCAGTTAAAATTATTTCCACCCTTGCATGAGAACATTTGTATGATTGATATAACCTCCATCATGGTTTAGAGTGAGAAATGTACCAGTTCATAATTATTTCTATCCTAGCATAAGAAATTCGATGCAATTGATATAATCTCTATCACAATTTAGATAGAGAAATCTGCAAAGTCAAAAATCGTTTTCCGTATAAGAAATCTTCACAAAGAAATCAACATGACTTGGATCAAAAGTGTTGGTTCACTTTTCATAACATCCTCTTCTATTAAGCAATTCTGTAACCCTTGATCATCATCGTTCTAAAGGGATGAGTAAGCGTTAGAGAAATAAAACTAGATGGAAAAGTTAATCATGCCTTAGACAGACTGATCATTATCCTATATAGGAAATAGAAAAATGTTCAGACTCAATGGCAGAGTAAAAAAATGGAAAAACGTTCCACTGTTGATTATGGCAACTATTGATACTAGTCTAATTAAGATTGCTGCAAGACAGTAAACGATTCGATAGTAGAGGTTGTAAGTAACCATTTACTAATTTTAAAATCTGCTATCTTACAAGTTTCCTTTTTTTTTGAGTCAATTAGTCATTGTTGATCATAACAGCAGTGGCAACTACAGCAATGACAAATAACTAAAGTATTCCAATATTACAATCAGCATCAGCATTCAAAAGAAACGTAGGCTAAAGCTTACTCGTCTAATCCAACCGTGGAGAGTTGGGAATTTATTTAGAGTTAGGAAGAAAATGCCTATCAAGAGGTGTATTCCCCTTATTTTAACTACCGTAGCTAGCTTGGAAAATATACAGCATAATCCAATTGCCGCAAGTTTACAACTGGATGTTTGGTAAGGGAAAAAAGAAATCATGACTCTATTTTTTAGCTGTCTTAGCGACGGTAACTAGGCTAGATCAAGCAATCTCCTATTTGGCATAAGTAAAATTAAATTGACTGTAGTTGGAATAGGTATAAATTTTCACACCGGAATGGTAATAAGTTCAGATTCCATGAAATAAGCGATCCAACAGCACTATAAGTAGACCTAGACTTTAATAAACTTGATGATATAATTTGTATCTTTTTTCAATAATATGGAATAAATAATGAGATCTAACTTAATCATGCAATAACAATTAATCAATCAATCAATCAATCAATCTATTCATCGTATCCATCATGTTATATCCTGCCCAATGCCAAATGGACAAAAATTAGTAAAGAAAATATTTCTAGCCAAATCAATTCTTAATTTTAAACAACTCATCAGTAAAAATCGACATGGACAAAAACTATTTCTGACTAAAAATAGTTATTGAACCTGGACTACTGACTGTCCTATATTGAATGGATGTAGTTACTTTTCAATTTTTCAAGTAGGAGGGATATCGGATACAATTAGTATTACTATAACCCTAGTTTTATCCAAGCTGATTGTTAAGCGTAACTGAAAATAAATTCGATTATTACTATACCCCAGTTGGTATCAGGGAGGAAATTAAATTATTAATGATACCATGATCATGATTTGAAATACATCAAATGAAATGATCTGGTTATAAAAATTTTATCCCTAAGCACAAGTTAAGACAATCTCTTAGAACGGCTAGTTTTCAATCCAAGCTGATCGCTCATCGTTACTTAAAATCAATCCCGATCATGGCTATCCCCTGAGATAGTATCAGGAGAAAAATAATTTATTGATGGAAACATAATCATGATTTGAAACAGATCAAATAGAATGATCTGGCTATGAAAAATTTATTCCTAAGCACAATTAAAACCAAGTTAGAATAGCTGGTTAGCAATTCGAGCTGATTGCTCATCGTTACTCAAAATCAGCTTCGATCATGGCTACCCCTTAATAAGATAGCATCAGGAGAAAATTAAATAATTATTGATGACATCATGGTCATGATTTGAAAAGATCAAATGAACTGACATGAAAGCTTTATCTCCTATGCAATGATAGATCAAATTGCCATTTAACGATATAACAGAATTTGCCTTAATAAAGTAATCATCGGCTCATTCCGTCTTTTAACAGTCTATATACAAGTCAAAAATGTTCAATTTTTATTTTGTTCTTTTACCGCAACGCGACTGTCGAAGATCAAATGAAATTACTAAATATCAACAAAAAGCCGACATATGGTATTGATTTTTAATCTTATGCATTCATAAATGAGTAATTATTATTCACTTTCATCAACGATGTAAGCACGCAATTATATCAACAGAATTATTCACACCGACAATGATTAATTATTGATTTTTACATTCAGTATTTTCCAGAAGATCATCATAAACTAAAAGACAGAATGTTTATCATGGTAATATTAACACCAAAGTAGAGAATAATTTATTTATTATTGCGTTACATTTCTATTTAATGGTTTACATCACCATATTTATTTCATTTTACCTTCTATCTTGAAAGATATAAAAGGAAAATGGTTACCGAAATAGAGAACACAATGCCGAATTTATTCATGATCATTTTTATTACTGCACTCCCGATGCACATAATTAATCGTTTCCATCGCCAACTATATATCTTTTCTCATTGCTAGGTAGATGATACCGATATAGTAATCATTATCGAAATATAGATAATACTATTCAACCCTATAAGTTTAGAAACTCCTTTTGCTAGAAATAATCACCGGTTTGATAAGAACCGGAAATAAACACGGGATAGTTATCGAAATGTAGAAAGCGATACCGAATTTATCAGAGATTATTTTCGTTATCGCTTTTCAGATGTACATAATATATTTCTATCGCTATTCGTAGATCTTTTCTCATAGCAAGGTACGTGATACTGTTTTGGCAATCATTTTTGAGATACAGAAAATACTATTCAATCATACAAATTCTAAAACTTCTTTTAATAGAAATAAATAATGGCCGGATTATTAAATAACGGAAATAAATAGAGGAATAGTTACCGAGATAGAGAATACGACACCGAGTTTATGAAGGATTATTTTCTTTATTATGTTCCGGATGCACATAATAAATTGTTCCCACCACTATGTATATATGTTTCTCATAGTTAGGTTGATGATATGGATATAGTAATCGTTATCGAAATATAAAAAATATAATCCAACCCAGCAAATTTAAAACTTTGCTAAAGCGAGAAATAATCGCCGGCTCGATAAATAACGGAAACAATATTAATAGGAATCAGGTTAATTCCTATTAATATTATTAACAGAATTTATTCGACATCAGAATAGAAATAAAAGATCGAATCAAATCATCAACAAATGTTTCATGTAGCTTTATAGCCATATTGGATAGTCTAGGGAAAAGAAATAATCGGCAACTATAGTCTATATTAACCTCTCTATTCTATCATAACAAGATCAATAACAGTGTTGAAAAAGGATCTATCGTTAATTAATTTATTATTTTACACAAAGTTATGATGCTAATGATTAGTGGCTATTGATGAATTATAAATTACCATGTGAAAGGTAGTCTTTTAATAGAAATCGATATCTAGATAGATCAAATTTCTTCTTAAATTAGACTAACCAGTGAAAATTTGTCTAAATTATTTTATGCATACTAATACCAAACTAACACGATGCCAGTTAGTTCAATTAGATTCTGTTAACATACAGCAGTTTCATTGCAGCTAAGTTATAGTTGGTTACTGGTAGCATAGTAAAAGTAACCGATGACTATCAATTTTAATAAAATAGCACTTTAAAAGATGCTAAATAGAATATAATACCTAGTCCATTTTATTTGTTATGGTGTTGTGAATAAATTAGATAGAAGATAGAAAATACTTGAGTGCTACAGTAATGAATCATAGCTAAAACTTTTCGAACAAAGAATTGAAAAGAAAGATGGCTAATAGATGACAACGAACCAAGGATTCTGGACACAGATCCAATTTTGGTATAATTTTATAAATAGTTATCCTTATACCATTTTTCTAGTGGATACTTGCTCTATACAGCAAGATAAGTTTAATAATAACAATCATGCAATAGTTAGGAGACTAATACAAACATTCATTAAAACAATTGAATTCATTTTTATTTTCTACAAAATTTCCAACACATGGTTAATTTACCTTCAGTTTTACCTTTCTTGCCAAGCTGGTCAAGCCAATCCTCTATCGAAGGTTAATTTGAGTTTCTAAAAAGTTACGAATAGAGATTGATCTACATTGACTAATCTATCGTACCTTATGATTTATTATTCCAGCTTTGTGCTATATATGTCTCTTACACCATACCAATACTGTCTAACACATGCATGAAACAATACCGAATTTATTTAAAATAGCAACATCAA